AGGGCTGTCTTCACCTCCTCTGTCTCCATCCAGCTGTCCTTCGCTATGCAGTGCCAGGTACTTGAGGTTCAGATCTGGAGCAATTTTAACAACCTCTGTGGGAAACCTTCTCCATGCCTTTGTGCAAAGAATAAACAGCTTAAAGAAATGCAAAGTAATTTCATTAATAATATTTTCCCTACCAGGCAGAATTCAGTTCTGAGCATCTCTGCTCAAATGGTGATCATTTTCACACATGACCACCAAGAATACATTTTACTGTAGCATGGATCACCAGTGATGTTGCTTACATGGGATTGGCCTTTGCAGAGACAGCATCCAAATTCTCCTAGTCCTTTCATTCAGTTTGTAGTTTGCATGAAGAACATGACTAGATTTAAGCAAGGCTATATCACACGCGCTCACCTTTTCATCTTTTGGGCCCAAAGGTAGGAATTTGGTGGTGCATGGGGAAGATATAGCCTAAAAACCACTTTGTGAAAACATTTGTCATTTTCCAACCCTGTTTAATACCTGTAATCAGTTGTTTCTTTGGCTTTGTTCCCCTAGGGTTGCCAAGTCAGAAACTTACCGCAACGGGGGACTCCCGGCCGTCGTCTGGACCATAGAGTTTTCCCTCGGATGACTGTGGCCCCGCCCCCAGTGTGCCCGGTGTACCCGCGTCACGTCCGGGTGACGTGCACGTGGGGTGGAGTTCCCCCCAGGGCCCGATCCGCTGCCGGCAGGGAACGGGCCTCTGGGGTGGGGGTTTCCCCGCCCCCTGGGGGGACTTGGCAAGCCTATGTTCCCCCCATTTCTTCATCCCATCTAAATCCGAATTAGTGAGCAGGATGAGCCTGTGATGTTATTTATCCAGTTAGGTTTGGCTATTGCTAAAGACAAACAAAGTCATTGAAGAGTAAGGGCAATGCTTCCTGGATGTTTCACCTTCATGATCCCAGCCAAAGATCATGCAGCACTCCTCATATCTCAGGTGGCTGTCCCACTCCCTTCTGAGGTTCTTCCTCCATGGTCTTATTCCCCACGGGCTTCTTGTCTACTTCTTGGGTACCCCTCTGTTTCTTTTTTAGGCCCTTGCATCCCTTTTGCTTTAGGTCCTTTTCTGTCTTGTCCCTCTCTAGGATGTGAGCAGCTCAGTCAATGGTAACTCTCCCCCACAAACTAAACCCTCTGTGATATTGTCAGCTGAGCTAGTCAAGAGGCTACCCGCAGCTACCCTTAGAAATCATTGCAGTGCATTACGATACAGATTGCAAATCAGAAGAGGTAAATTGGTAGAGTTTATTGGACCAATTTCTATTGGCTAAGTTCATGGAACTCTCCATCAGGCAGAATAGGAAACCGGACAGTGCTCTGCCTGCATACAGCTAGAGATTCGAAAACCAACATTTCCAGTCACTTCGGACAGATAGTGGCCAAACCACAAAACACTAGTACATCGGACAGTTTTATACAAAAAAACATTAAAACCAAGAAATTATTTTTAAAATGACTCAAGAAGCATTGGCACACTGTAATTGCTCTTTCCCAACCTTGCCTTCTATGAAGGCTTGTCACATTCAAGTCTACCAGTGTCTGTACAGTAGGCATAAATGGCAAGGGGAGCCATACATCCTCAAATATGAAATGGACATGCGTCCTTGGCCAATCACAATTCTCCTCTGTGCATTCATTGTGTGCCTGAGATTATGGATGGAAGTCTCCCTTTAAACTGCACATATCTTTCATAACAATTAAAACACCAGTGTTCTTCTGTACTTGATGCTCAAGGACTCTCACTTATGAGTGGGGTAATGTTGGGAAAACTGTGGACCAACGGTTTTGTCTGCAATCACTTTTTTCCAAGTGATATCCTCAAACACACTAAAGACTGTTTACCTCACACATTCCTTTTTGTTCAGGTACCTCGCAAGTATGCACTATGGACATTGTCTGACTTTTATTGTTGAGCTATAAGCAATTGTGGTGGGAAAGTGCCTCTTTCAGTAACATATTTTATACTCCGAAGAAGGTTACAGTTGCTAGACCCAACTCTGAATGTCTCGCTGGATTTCGGAGTTCTGAATAACTTGGTCTTGTTTCCAAAGAGAAGACAGCACATTGGGGGATTCTCCATCAGGCCTGTAGCTATGGTGGGGCTTGGGGGGGCTCTGCCCCCTTTCTTAAAGGCACAGCCCCACAAGAATTTATCCTGTAAATGCTTTTTTCAATCATTTAAAACATTTTTAAAGGTGTGCGCTCCTTTAAGCAGAGTGGGATACTGTAGTTGACTGATTCCTGCACTGAGCAAGCGGGTTAGAGTAGGTGACTAGAAACTGGTCTCCTTTAAGAGACTTTTTCTGCCTAGGTTTTTCTGTCTAATGCTTTCTTAACTATAGAAGTCATCCCCCCCCCCCCCAACTGCTGGCTTGTTATCAGAATTGGTGCTTAGGCTGGCAGAAGTGATTAACTTGCAGCAGCTGGGAACTGTCATCTAAAGTGGTAGACAGTTTGCAATTTAGAGGTTATCCTGGTACGAGTTTTCGATTGGCTAAATGGCTTTTCTTTCTGCACTGAGAACTTCAGCCCCACTGGAAAAAAACATGCCCCACAAGCCACAAAACCCTGACTTTGAGCCTGTTCTCCATTATTCTGGATTGTATCCTACTACCATTCCAGTGGCAGAAACATATCTTTCTCTCCTTTACACTTTCTCCAGCCGCCCCCTTTGACCCTGCTCTTTTGATTTCCCCAAAAGACACTGTTGGTGAAAGGGGGACTCTCACAGACCTTTCCTTGTGTGGGTGGGTGGGCATCAGTAAAAAGGAAAATTGGGTGAGATTGTCCCTCTTCCCTCAGTGGAACAGCCATAGGATATAACCTTCTGCTTTTTATTACCATATATTATAAAGTTCGCAGCAAATTTCTTTTTCTTCTTTCAATTTATACCCCCACACACACACATACACACTGCATGTTATTGTTGGACATGTTGGACATCACATGACACCAAAGTTTATGTTAAGTCAAGTTAGTTTGTGAAAACAGGATTCAGTTCACAGAGTACCGCTTAAACTTTGTTTGCCTCAGCCAGTGCTTGATTAACTGCCACCATGCAGAAAATTACATGAACCAATTTTTTTTTTCTGGCCAGAGTTTAGGAACGTATGCATCTGAATTGGTAATTGTGGGCGGGGGGTGACATATAAATGGGCTGAAGGAACTGAAAACTGAAGCAAACTATACACGCCCCCGTTTCAGAATCCCTTTCAGAACTTTTCCTAGTTAAATCACCATTAAGGAAAAGTGAACTGCAGAACAGAGATAAATTTCAGAACAATACAGTGATAGAATGGAGACTGTCTGACCCATCCGTAGTTGACAGCAGGGTGGGATGAAGCTCAGATGAAGCAAGGCAAGGAGGGGGAAATGGCCTGGAGATCCAAAAGACAAATGGCCAAAAAGGCACAAGATCTGCGGGCAGCAGAAGAATACAGCCCCCAAGTTGCTCAGATCAGGGTGTCTTACCTGCCCTGCCCTGGCCTATTGCTACTCAGAAGATTTCTTGCTCATTTAAGGTCATCTTCCTGAGCCCCTTTTGTCTGGCGAGAACTGAGTGGCCATGTATAGGCCAAAGCTCAACAGACAGTCCTCAGGTTCAGGATGGCTGAGGGCCTCAGAAGTGACAGTCCTTTCCTGTTGTTGTTTTCTCTCTCTCTCTGAGGGAAACCTTCTAAAGCACATGGGTTTAAAAGTCTCCGGAAACTGGTGTTTCCTGGTACCATTAAATGATTCAAGCCAACGTAATTTATCAAACAAAACAGTTTGGATTCAATGAGCTCTGCTCGTGGTGTAGGGATTTCCTGCTTCCCTCGCCCACTGCAGCTGACTCGGCCTCCTGGAAATTTTGTTCCTGGGGATCAGTGGATCATTAGGAACAGTATAAGGGGGCCTGGGGTCGAGATGGGAACTGGAGAAAATCATGACTACCTCTTTCAGGTGCTCCTTCAGCCTTCAAAACGGCATCATTGGCTATCAAGATTCTCTCAGTAATGCCACACTTGTCCCCTGTAGAATTTTGATGTCCTATTCTACCTTAGAATTTAGAAAGAATTCTCAGTTGTAATTGTTGCATAATAAATAATACTTCCATCGAATACTCTTGCTTGACATCTCATATCAACCTCTTGGACTTTTCCATGCATCCCTTCACCAGCTAATGTCCACCAGCTAATGTCCACGTATTTTAGGGCCTTTTGGTGGTAGCCCCAATGTCATGGAATGCTGTTACTGAGGAAATCTGCTTTTCCCCTGCACTGTTCACCTTTCAACAAGTGACAATGCGACTTTTAAAGAAGGGTTTCCAATCCTGTCTGAGTTGATTCTTCTTTCTTTTCTGCTACCAGGTGTCTGATACGTCTCTCTGTGGTGATTTAGTTTAATTTTGTTGCATTTTTGGTTAATTTTTATTTTGATACTTGATTTATTTTTTAAAAAATAGCGGTTTTTAAAAAATGGCGTTTGCTGATTTGGTGATCCCTGATCAAAAAGTGGGATGCAAATACTTTGGATATTTATACTGAAGGTGTGTATACACACGACACACCACGACCAGTTCTTCAGATAGTAAAAATAAGGTTGATTTTTATAACATCTAAATGCTGTAGTTGTCACTTCTGTATTGTCTGATGAGCTCGATTGGAAAGGACCGGCACTGGAGCTATTTGATGATGTCATAGTTTCTTCCATTCCTGTGAGGTTTCTTCAGTTCTAGTGTGGCAAAGGAAATGACCAAAACAGTAGAGATAACTGCCCAGTTTTGGGGACGTAGGAGCTAGGCCTGAGCACGCTGCTACTGAACTTCAATTTCTCCTGTAGATAATTAGGAATAGAGATCTTTTGCGGATTATTACCTTCCAATTTGAATGGCGGTTGGTAGCAGAGTAACTACAACTTTAACAAAAACTTTTAAACACATGACTTGTGTAGCATATAGGACAGAAGGAGCTCAGAAATAACCATCACTTGATGTAGTATTTTGGTTGCATGTAAAGGTAACTAATCCAGTACACAAGGTTGAACAGGGTGAAGGCTGTGGGAAAGAAGATCCGAGAGTAGGAGTCAATTTTGGCCACCCGGATGTGTATTCTTCCTTCTCGCCAAGATCCTGTGCGGCAGTCGTCAAAGCAACAAAAGAAGCTGGTGCAGTCCTTACCTTCAAGGCATTCGTAGCCATAATGGTCATCATGTTCTTGAAGGTGGCGGATATTGTTTATTGGAATTAACGTTGAGCCAGGGTGGACAGCAAGGGGAGATGGATTCTAAAAAACAAAAAGATAAGAGGGCAGGTTTTGCTCAAGTCTCATGGGTGCAATGCAAAGGAAAGACAAAGAAGAAGGAGAAGAGGAGATTGGATTTATACCCTGCCCTTCACTACCAAAAGGTCTCTCAGAGCGGCTTACAAACTCCTTTCCCTCCCCCTCCCCACAACAGACACCCTGTGAGGTAGGTGGGGCTGAGAGAGCTCTGACAGAAACTTCTGTTTTTCAAGAACAGCTCTTATCAGAACTACGGGTTGCCCAAGGTCATCTAGCCAAATGCAAGTGGTGGAGTGGGGAATCAAACCCGGCTCTCCCAGATTAGAGTCCGAGCACTTAACCACTACGCCAAACTGGCTCTTCCACAAAGAGTTCCACAACTTTCCACAATCCCACTTGTCACTGGCACATACTACCACTGGGCTGCAGTCTTAAGAACACTTACCTGAGACCAAACTTCATGGAATAAAATGGAGGACTTTTCTGAGCAAATAGTATCAGGACCGTACTGCTAAGACTGTGGCACTCCTACAGAGGACATGGCTGTGCTACAGAGTCATGCTTATTCTTGTGACTGCCTGTCATACGCTGAACTACTGCCTGGATCAGTAAAGTAGCCAAGTGATTTGACCAGCCTTATTGATTTGGCTTTTCATACAGTCAGGGCTTTTTTCTTCTGGGGGAACGCGCCAGAACAAAGTTCCGGAACCTCTTCGACAAAATTCTTTTTAAAATGTTCGTGAGTTTTCAGTATATAGACTGAAAACTTCATTTCCCTCTTGAGAGTTCTGGCCCCTCTTTTTTTCAAAAAAAGAGAAGCCATGCATACACTTTCCAAACATGCTTGGCCCTTACTGGCAACAAAGTGTATTATTTAGAATTCAACATTGTACTCCCAGGAGACACTGTGCTAAACATTAGATGAGGAATTCGTTTAAACACATTGAAGAATTATCCAGCGCAGCTCTGAGGCTTTCCCCCTTAATGTACAGCTCAACCATGTTGCAAACAGGGTGGGGACAGAGGCACAGACTATCCACGCTACATTCCCCCCCCCACACACACACAAATACACAGGCATGGCTGGAGAGAGACTGATATGTTGGTTGCATGCACTGGATGGCAGGTGCAACCAGAGGGAGACAGAGACAAGCCACACTACACCCCACACTTGGTGACAGTTGTGGCAGTGTCCCTGCAGGGGAGAGAGGCAAATGTGTTGCTTGCATCCACAACTTCTGAAAGGCAGGCAGGCAGGCCAGCCAGGCAGGTTGCAGGGTAGTGGACATATGTACTCCCCCACCAGTAGCCAATAAGTTCAGATGTGGAATAGATCTTGAAAGGTGATGTGAGGCATGAAATAAGGTTTCCGTTTCTGAGAATTCAGGTCTCAAAATCGCATTAATTTGATGTGAAAGCATCAAAGTACAAAGCAATGGTACCTCCTACATATCAGGCCCACAAAGAGAGAGCTATTACCTCTGGCATGGGGGGGGAAGATGGCCTCCCATAAAGAAAACTAGAGGGGTGCACTTGAAAATGTATTGTTTTAATTGTGTATCAATTTCTGAAAGGGCAGGATTATCATTTTCATCCAACATGGGGAGTGCATTTACTGCACTGGAAAGTCATGTCGGATTGGAGGTTTGGCCATTATTTTCTATGGAGGAAAATTAGAGGGAATGCCAGGGTTCTAGAGCAGCTATTTTTTTTCACCAAATGGCAATAAAATCTCAGCAAATCAAGTCCTTCCCCTCTACTAACTATCCCCCAAGGCAGGTGACTGAGAATAACCTTCCCAATCAGAGTCGGATATCGCCTCTCCAGTCTGATGCACGGTAATTTGGGTGATTTTAGAGTTGGCAGTTTCTGATTGCACACCCCTAAAGAAAACCAAGCCAGGGATATCTCTTTTTAAATAAAACGTAAGTGCATGGTTGAGGGAGCTAAACCCTGCCACCCTATGCCTTTCTTCAATGCTGTTCTCCCATTACGGCTGACCTGCAGTATTGGAATTGGGCTGGGAGAAAATCACTGAAGGCATTGGAGAGGAATGAAGTAAGTTTAGCTTCCCTCTGCTGTACTGCTTTTTGGGGTGTGTGTGTGTGTCAACATCAACAAAAAAGGCACTCCCTATTAAATACTGGGTTCAAGATGCATTGCAGTGAACAGCTCTACTTTATTAAGTGATTTCAGGAACAAGACTCAAACACCAGGGCAACAGCCCTGTTTATATAGCATGCAAAACCCACACCCAAACACACCCAACTCCCAATGATAGGCTATTTACATAGCATTAGTTTCTCATTGGCCACCTCCAGAGTCCTGGTGGGCTATTGTTCTAGAGCTCCAAGCTCAGCCAGTCTCTGGTAGAACAGTCCTGGGATGTTTCAGTCCTGATACATAGCACTCCCCAAATACCACTTGAGCATCTCAGGAAAGAATGAAGAAACTAACTCATACATCAGTGCTCTCGCATCTTCCAGTGACCATCCTATGATGAAAAATTAAATTGTCTCTCAAACAGGGAAACTTCCTGCCTACAGTCTGATAGGAACGATCTCTTAAATGAGGCATAGAATCCCTGAAAATTCCATCTCAAGTGGACAGGAGAAGTAACTCCTGTGGAAACATGTCTCGCACTGAAACCAAAGGAAATGTCTATTCTATTGATTAACAAAACTAGATTTGACTGAGTTGTTAACAAAGCTGACTTATGTAACTCCCTGAGTCCCAAGGGCCAGGTTCAAAGGTTAGGGTAATGTTCATAAATTCAAAATGTAAATCCAATTTATTTAAATACAACAGAGAGTAACTGTGAACAACGTTCCCAAAGATATCAATACTTGTTCACTAACCATGGTCTCAGAGCAGAGTCCTACTCAAAACTGACTTTCTAGAAGGCACAGACAACACTGTGTGGTCTTCCTGAGGCTAAGCCTGGAGCAGAGTACCAGGCATTAAGATGGCCTTCTTGCAACAGCAGGAACTCTTCCTGTGAAGATGCTGGATGAGTCTTCAAGCTCGTTTGTTGCCTTAGGAGCAGTTCCCCTTTCCTCCTGGCAAGGTGAAGTGGGACAGCTCTGTCCAGGGTGCTGATTTCAGTGCAGTCAATGAAGAGTTCAGCTGTCAGCAATCCCTGCTCTTTAGCTCTTCCCAGATACTGCAGCTCTCCCAGGGAGGATTGTTCAATTCATCCCAGCTAGCAATTTCAGCTATGTCTTCTGTCCTTTTTGACCCAAAGCTTGTAAAATAATAATACTTTCCATTTATTAATCGCTTTCCCCAGTGTGCTCAAAGCGATGTACAGTTACTCAGTATAGACAAGGGACTACCAATGTTTGTAGGGGAAAGGGAAGAAAACTTATATTCATTTAATTGCACACGCCGTCAGTGCCCGGTGTAGATGTCTTCTGGCTCGGCTCCGTCGTTTTCCGCACGGCTGCTTGTTGACCAATCGCCACACTGCCACCGCCTGGCCGGAACATCCACTGCAGGGATTCTTTCGTAGCCGAGAAGTTATTTCACCTTTCTGAACCTCGACCAGGACGTCCGACCGTCAGCTAACACCCTCCCACAAGGGAGATTGGCGTGCCCACCCTCTCTTAGGAGTGGTTCCCATTTTATCTACTCGCCGAAGCTTTCGAATTGCTGGGTGGACGATGAGCTGGGGACAACAGGCTGGCTGCTCACAGCAGCGCGGGGCTCGAGCTAACACAGTTCAGATGTTAAGACAGTGGGATATAACCACTGTGCCACCGCTTTGCCCTTCACAGAGCACTACCTTCAGTGCTTCTCAATCAATCTACTCTTCTTGTCCTTTCAGCTAGCCCAGTCCTGCTTTATACCACCTCTCAGTGTCATGATGGCGCTTTCAAAAGCATGCCCCATGAGCCTTCGCTAAACATGCAAATTAACACAAGTCTATGTACACATCAACTATCTGCTAATCTGGTCTGACCTAAGGTCTATCTAAGTATCTGCAGTCTACTGATCAGATCTAGGTCCCAAACCTTTTTTTTTCCAGTACAGGTTTATATTCTTCCCCCATCAAAACTTTTGTTTGCCATTCAGCAAACTGTAACTTATCAGAGTGGTATATCAAATTTAAACTGCATCTATCCATGCCCAAATGCGAGTAACAAACATTTTCTTTCTTTTTCTTCTGGCGACCCCCTACTGTGGGCTTGGACATTTTCCAGAGAGGTGGCTTGATTAGCCTGCCTCTGCATCCCACCCAATGCTCCCTCTAAGCTATGGAGTCTTGTGAGCAAAAATTCTACTTTGTGAGCCACTGGCATTAAAAAGCAATTTGGCTACTGCATAAATTAGTTTGCTCTGGAGCCCCATCCTTCCTGAGCTAAGACAAAAATGTGTGAGCCAGAGGCTAAAAAACTGTGAGCTAGCTCACAATAACTCAGCTTAGAAAGAACATTGGTCCCACGTTGGAGATCACCCTTCCAAGATCTTGCCCGAATCAGCCCTGCTTAGCTTCTGAGATCTGGTGAAATCGGGCTTGCCTGGGCTATCCAGCTCAGGGCAGTAACAAACATTTTCAGTGACAGGAACATAACTGGAAACACCAAGTTTATCATAAGTGTTGGGTTTTGCAAGTGTCATCCCTTCAGTCATGAAGGGGTTAAGATAAGCTTGTAAACAAGTTTAGCATAGAACCAATTAGGTGTTGAGTAGAGTCTTCCCACCAATAAGGGAGAGGTCTTATTTTTAATGAGGTGATCTTAAGATTGACTATTGGCTAATTAATTTATTGGAGATATTCTGCACGAATGCAAGGGGTGGAGCCTTTGGGGGGAAACTTCTGCTCCTTTGTTCTCAGGGTAAATGACACACACATAGGGAAGCAAGGAGACTCAGTGATGACAACAAACTAGAAAGAAGAGTTAGGCTGTTGTTTTCCCCCCTTTCCCTATGTTTTCTAGTAAGTTATTTTTCTTAGACGCTAAACACACATGTGTTTGTGATGATTATTCCACTGCGCTATA